GTCAGTCTAGAACAGGTTTTGGTACGTAGCAGGTCCTCAGTAAGGATTTGCACAATTGCTGACTCGGAATATGTAGATCTTTCTCTCTCCCTGGAGCTGGCACCCAGGAGCTCTCTACACGTCCCACTTAGAGTTATGGTCAGGAGGAAGGCTGGCCCTCCTTCCACCCTCGTGCTCCCAGCCAGTCACTGGGCAGCAGCCCGGAGTCCCCCTACTTCCACCTCACTGAGCATCGTGATCGACAGCCACAATGGGGATCACCCTGCCAGCGTCACTCATGACTCCCAATACCAGGGGCAGGGAGGCATTTATCAGCCACTGTTCTTGTGTGCGGGGGAGGTCGGTGGCGGCAGAGCCCGCTTCCCGGAATGTCATCCGGGCGGCCAGTGCTCTATCACTCTGGTGACTCAGTGTGAGGAATCCATCACCCCGCCTGCCAGCCCTCGAGGGGGGAGACCCGGCCACCTCGACTCCATCTCTCTCCTCCTCCTCCTGGCTCTCCTTGAGCCTGTTGTCAAAGCTAATTAAAGGCAGAAAGCCTAATCTCTGCCCCAGGTTTGGTGACAGCAGGGAGACACTGGCCAGGGCCAGGCAGTGGTTGTCATGTTCATGGTGATGAGCAGATGCAACTGCTGCCCAGAAACTGAAGCAGATCCGAGAGCTGGGGCTCGCAGGCCCGGAATGTGGCCTCTGGGCTGAACTGCCTCCCTGGGACTCGCCTACAGGAAACACCCATATGGTCTCGCACTGGGGCTGCTGTGTGTGTGACCATGTGTGTTCTGCAAGGCGATTTCCTCCTCCTTTCATCGACCGTCACCATACCCCTGGGTTTTCCCCTTCCACAGTGTTTTCTGAGAGTAAAATTCTCTCTGCAAGGAGAATAGTGGGAGTTTCCACAATTGCATACAGTTGTGTACCCACCTCCCCAGGTGGGGTGTAACCCCCTTCCCTCATTGCCCCCAGTTCTGCCATGTGTCCTGTCATCACCTCGGGTTGCTGTCCACCACCGGGGCTTTCTGTCCTCATCTACCGTTTCCAGGGTGTCGAATGGGTGGAGTCATGCAGGCAGAGCCCTTTCCAGTCTGGCTCCTGTCACTCGGCCTCGCGCACTCAATGTTTATTTGTGTTATTATGTGGATCCGTTGTTTATTCCTTTTTATTACTGAGTAGTATTGCATGGAAGTTTGTGTTATCCATGTCCTAGAGAAGGATATTTGGGTTGTTTATAGTTTTTTTTTTTTTTAAGAGGTTTTTGCCTTAGGGTGTGCGTGCTCACTGGAGAGAGAGACAGACAAAGATAGTGAGAAGGAAAGTGAGAAATCACCCCTTCCCCTGGGAGCATGGCCACACCGCAATCCCTTCTCCTTCATTCTCCTCTTGGAATCTTGGGCATGCACACACACGCGCCTGGTGTGATTTTCAAGCCATCAGGTTCGGGACTCGAACCACAGTCAGCCATGTGGGAGTCTAGTGATGTAACCACTGTGCCATCTGCTGACCCTTATTTGTAGTCTTGATGATGGTTCGGGTGTCCCCCAAAATGCGTGTGTTAGAACTTGATCGTACTATGATAGTATTAGGAGTAGACATGGTGTCGGAAGGTGGAGCCTCTGGGAAGAGATTATGGTTAAGATCTTTGGGTCGGGGTTCCCATGACTGAGTTTCAGTGGGCTTATATCCCTTATCCTAGCTACGCTGGCCTCCAGGCTGTTTCTAGAACACATGTAGCTTTTCTTCCTCAGGGCTTTGGGAGGGGGAATGAGTCTGACAGACACAGCCAGCCCACTCTGCCCTCACCCATGTGATGCGATGCCTAGGGATCCTGACGAGCCCCACCAGTTATGGCCCCTGGGCCTCAGACCTCCAAACCAAGAGTTGCGTAAACCTGTTTATTTTTTTAGAGAGAGATTTTTGCTATAGGGTGCATGTGCTCTCCAGAGAGACAGAAAGCAAGAAATCACCCCTGTAAGGGGGGCGGTGGCCATGTCGCAGTCCCTTCTCCTCCAGTCTCCTCTTAGGATTTTGGGCACACACGTACATGTACCCTGCGTGAATTTTAAGCTGCCGGATCTGGGACCGTGCAACCGTGGTTGACTACATGGGATTTCAGCAACGTAACCATCATGCCATCTGCTGGTCCCTAAACCTCTATTTTTAAAGAGGGAGAGAGAGGAAAAGTGAGAAAGCGCCCTCCCGGAGGATGGGCACACTGCAATCTCTCCTCCTCTATCTCTCCTCCTTTTGGGATTCTGGACGTGCACATGTTCCTGGTATGTTTCTCAAGCAGCCAGTATGGGACTCGAGCCATGCGTTGGCCATGTAGGGTCTAGATGCCTTCACTGCCATGTCACCAGCTGGCCCTGTCTCTATTTTTATGAATTACCCAGACTCAGGTTCTTTCTGTTGACAACTACGGAATGGACTATAACAGCTATGAGTAAAGGGTACTATACACATTGCATAGAAGCTTTCGTGTGAGCCTAAGTTTTCATTTCTCTAGGTACTACCCGGCAGTGGGAAGCTCAGTCCTGTGGTAGGTGTATGTTTACCTTTTTAAGAAAATGCCAAGCTCTTGTCCAGAGGATTCCACGGTCTTCCATTCCTGCCGGCAGTGCCGGAGTGTTCCAGTTCCTCCACCTCCTCGTTGAGACCTAGTGTGGCCAGTTTCGAGCTTCATCATCCACAAGTGTTTAGCAGTTTCTTATTCTGATTCCAATGGTCGTTTGCCCGAAGTCTGCTGATGTGGAGTATCTTTTCACGTGCTCATTTGCCAACTGTGTATTACTTTTGGTGAAGTGGGTGTTCAAATCTTTTTTTTTTTTTCCCTCTAAGTTTGGTATAGGGTGTGTGCATGCACCAGAGAGAAACGGGGAAAGGGAAAGTAAGAAATCACCCCCATGGGAGGATGGCCGTCTCGCGATTCTGTCTCCTTCATTCTCCTCCCAGGATTTTGGTAACACACACATGCATCCACAGCAATTTTTTTTCTTTTTCTTTTTCTTTTTTTTGAGATATTTTTACTACTGGGCATGTGCACTCGCTGGAGATACAGAGAAAGGGAGAAAGATAGAAAGCGAGAAATGACACCTTGTGGGGATAGTCATGCCGCAATCCCGATTCCTCCATTCTTCTCTTGGGATTTTGGGCATGTGCACGTACTAAGTTTAAGCCACCAGGTCTGGGACTCAAACCCCGATCGACTATGTGGGAGTCTGGCAACATAACCATTACATCTGCAGGTCCCTGCCCAGAGTAATTTTTAAGCTCCCACGTCTTGGGACTCAAACTACATAGTCAACCATGTGAGATCCAGCTGCCTTAACGTTCATGCCACCTGCTGGCCCAGTGTTAAAATCTTTGGCCCATTTGAAAAACGGTCTGTTTGGGGACCACAGTTAGTGTAATGGCTATGTCGCTGGACTCCCACATAGTCAACTGCGGTTCGCGTCCTGGACCCGGTCAGTGGCTTAAAACTCACACCGGGCACGTGTGCATGCCTGCCCAAGATCCCAAGAGGAGAATGGAGGAGAAGGGATTGTGGTGTGGCCATCTCCCCTGGGGGGTTATTTCTCACTTTCTGTCTCTTTGTCTCTCTCTGTCTGTCTGGCGACTGCATGCGCCCTATTGCAAAAAAAAAAAGGGTCTGTTTGTCTTTTTATTGAGTTTTGAGACTTCTTTATATTTCTTGGATACAAGTTCTTTATCAGATACATGATTCGTAAATATTTTCTTAAAATATTTGTAAATATTTTCTTTTGAAGAGCAAAACTTTTTTAATTGATGAAGTCTGGCTTATCAATTTGCTCTTACATGGATCAGGCTTCTGATAGTATATCAGAAGAAAAATTTGTCTTACTTAAAGTCATAATTATTTTCCTCTATGCTTTCTTTTAGAAGTTTTATAGTTTTAAGTTTTCCATTTAGGTCTCTTATCTGTTTTAAGTTAATTTTTATAAGGTGTGAGATCTGCACTAAGGTTCTTTTTTTTTTAATTTTTTTATTTTTTATTTGTGCATAGGAACATCCGTTGTTTCCTGCCATTTGTTGTAAAGACTATGCTTCCTCCCCTTGTGGTTTCTGACCTGATCAAAGGTCAACTGACCCTTTCTGTGTGGGTCTATTTCTGGACTCGCCATTCCCATTCCATGAGTCTGTGTGGCTAACCATGTGCCAATTCCACATGGCCTCGGCTCCTGTACCTTACAGGAAGTGTGGAAATCAGGTAGTGAGCACACTTCCCTGTGCACAGGGGGGTCATCATCCTCTCCGCTGTACAGATGAGGAAACTGACCAGAGTCATGGTAGGCGTCTTGCCGGTGGCCTCTGTATGGAATATGTCAGCTGCTTGGCTCATGAGCCTCCTTGTGCCTCCTGCTGAGAGCGTGGCCTCAGGAGTCTGGCTTGAACGCAGCTCTCGGCCCTGCCTTTCTTAGTTGCAGATCCCTGGGAAAGTGCCTTTACTTCTCCGTGCCTCAGTTTTCCAACCGTAAAATAAGTGATTATAAAATGATGTACCGTCATCGGTAAAAGGGTGGTACTTGCCTTAGATCGGGTTGCTGGAAAAGTCAGGATGTATTTTTCAGTGTTTTTCTATGCAAACATGCGTCGTGACTTTTCCAACAACCCTCTAGATTGTGGTGAAGATTGAATGAATCCACGTGTTGGGTGAAGCCATATGAAACTGCTGCTCTCTGGCCATCTTGACTGACACGTGTGGCAGTTTTACGTGGGTCAGCCTAGCTTGTGAATTACTCTTTGTGGCACTCAGAGGGACGTGCTTCAGAAGTGGTAGTTATGGCGATAGCGTTACAGCATCACTGGTGTACTTCTGGGCATCCCTCATGGGTCTCACAGGATGATGGCAGGCTGGGAAGGAGACTGTCCCAGGCACAACCTGGTCCAAAGGCTTAGAAGGGGGAGGACTGACTGGGGCGGGGGTGGGAAGCAGCCCTCGGGGGCCCAGAATGGCTACACGAGTAACCCCTCCTTTCCCTCCACAGGTGGCCCTGGTCTGCCAAGCACCCTAGGGACGCGCATCTAGAAGACCTTGCCCACCTCGGCCATGGCCACGAGGACCATCATCATTGACCACGGCTCTGGCTTTCTGAAGGCCGGCCTGTCCGGCTGGAATGAGCCCCAGATGGTCTTCCCCAGCATCGTGAACTACCTGCCCTGCAGGGAGAACCCCGGCCCCAGCTATGCCCGGCGTCGCGTGAGCCTGGGCATCGACTTCTGCCGCCCCGACACCTTCAGCTACCCCATCGAGCGTGGCCGCATCCTCAACTGGGAGGGCGTGGAGCACATCTGGTCCTTCGTGGTGGAGAAGCACAGGCAGGAGCACGAGGACTCCCCGGTGGTGATCACAGAGTCGCCCGTGAGGGAACCTATGGACCGACGGAAGACGCTGGAGGTGAGACCTGCTCCGCTGCCCAGTGTGGGTGCTGGGGGGACGGCAGGGAGCGGCTGGTACTTGGTGTCTGGGTGTGACTGGGCACTGGAAGTCTGCTTGTTGAGGAATTCGCTCCGATGTCTGATGAGCGCCTGCTGTGTGTGTGGCAGACTCCATGCTAGGCGCGGGCGCTCAGAGAGGCTCCTGCCTGGAGACAGTGAGTAACACTCGGGGCAGAGGCTGTGGCTGGGAGACACTGGACACTGCATGGATCCCATACGTGTTCTGCCCTCAAAGCCTTCATTCCAGGGGAAGGCTTGGCCGTGAAGAAGTTACCAAATAAGAATTCCAGAGGGTAATCAGTTCTAGAAACAAAATGAAATGGGGGTGATGGCTGACTACTTAAAGAGGGCAATCAGGGAAGGCTTTTCTAAGGAGGTGATTTCTGCCAGGGAGGCGGGAGGCAAGAAGTCGGCAGAGGTTAGACTTCGCAGGCCCATTATGCTTGGGGAGTACTTGTATTTTAGTCTGAAATAAAGATTGGCAAACTATAGCCTGTGAGCCAAACCTGGCCCACCACATATTTTTGTAAGTAAAACTTTATTAGAACATAGCCACATCCATTCATTTTCATAGCATCTATGGCTGCTTTCACACACGATAAACAGTGATGAATAGTTGCAATGGAGAATATGAGGCCCATAAAACCTAAAATATTTACCACCATAGGTTTCCTAGATAAAATACATGATGCCCACTTAAATTTAAATTTCAAATAAATGACAAATCATGTCTTAATGTAAGGGTGCCCCACATATTGCATGAGACATACTTACACTTGTTATTTATCTGAAATTCAAATTTAACTGAGCATCACATATTGTTATTTGATAAACTGGGCAACCGTGACTGTCTAGCTGTTTACAAAAAAGGCTGCCATCCTTGCTCCAGAGGAATAGGAAACTCTTGTAGAATTGTTATTATTATCATTTCATATTGTTTTGCCATAGGACATATGCGCTTGTAGGAGACAGAGAACGGGAGAGTGAGAAATCATCCCCCGGGGGAATGGCCATGCCACCATCCCTTCTCCTCCATTCTCCTCTTGGGATTTTGGGCATGCACATACATGTGTCCAGTGTGGTTTTTAAGCCGGCGCCCAGGACACACAAACCCTGTTTGGCCATGTGGGAGTCCAGCACCCTAACCACTACGCCACCTGCTGGCCACATCTCAAGAGTTCTAAGCAGGGCAATCAGGTCAGATTTCCTATTTGAAAAAGAGGATCTTGGCTGTTGTTTGGGAGCTGGATGGTGGGTCGGTGGTCTGAGAGTGGGAGTGAGGGAGTCCCTTCTCACTGAGGGGATGTGGGGCCTGCAGAGGTCAGTGGGAGGCGAGAGGTGGCAGAGGTGGCTTACAGCAGCCTTCCTACTCCTCGGGGTCAGAAGCTTGCGGATGAGGCAGAGCTGGGGAGTTGGAGGGGTCCTCTCTAAAGTCCCGGAGGATGTTTGACACAGGGGAGGACGTCAGCTCAGGGACATTGCCAGACCCTATGTAGTATTCCAGTTTTGTCTTGATGTTTGGACATTTTTCTATTTAAAACAAGTCAGGCTTCGCCTACCAGCGAGTGTACTTTTTCTTTCTCCTTTCCCTTCTTCCCTCCCCTTCCACTCCCCTCCTCTTGCCCTCCCCCTTCCCTTCCTCTCCTCTTACCCTCCCTTCCCTTCTCTTCCCTTCTCCTCCCCTCCCCTCCCCACCCTTTCCTCTTCCCTCCCCATCTCCCCCCCTTCTCCTCCCCTTCCCTTTACTTTCTCTTCCTTCCTTCTTCTTTCTTGCTCCCTTCTTCCCTTCTTCTCCTCTCCACTTCTCCTCCCCTTCTCCTCCCCTTCTCCTTCCCTCCCCTCTCCCCCTCCCTGCCCCTCCCCTACCTTCCTCTTTTCCTTCCTCTCACCCTCCCTCTCCCTCTCCCCTCCCTCTCTGCCCTCCTTCCTCTCTGCACTCTCTTCGAGAATGTGCAGCACTCGTTTCTCTTCTAAGCCCTTCTTCCTTCTTGCAAACAGGTGGCTCAGGCTGCACCGTCTGACCTTGGCATGGCTGCCTCTCCTCCCCTTGCTAACACGGCCAGCTGGCCTAGCTGTTTCTTACAGCCCCACTGCGGTTGGCACCACTCTACCAACCTAGTCCTCCTCAAGACCATCCTCAGACGAGGGCCTGAGGGCCAGCCCCACTCCGAGGCCCTCTTTGTTCCTGCAGTGGGCTCCAGGGGCCCTGGGGGAGCCTGGGGTCCTCTGAGGACGCGGGTCTGTGCTGACCTGTTTTGAGAACTGAGCACGCTGAGTGGTCTTGGGAGGCACAGAAAGGGATGAGGGCCCTTCCTGGGGAGAGCCCACCATGTCTCCTCGCTCATTGCAGATTATGTTCGAGCTGCTGGATGTCCCGTCCATACTCCTGGCTGACCAGATGGAGATGTCCCTGTATGCCTCTGGCCTCCTGACCGGCGTGGTGGTCGATTCCGGCTACGGCCTGAGCCGCGTGCAGCCCTTCCACCTTGGCCGCGCCCTGCCCTCCGGGGCCAAGACGCTGGAGTTCGCTGGCCAGGATCTCTCTGCCTACCTCTTCAAGAGCCTCTTCAAGGACGACTGCGACCGCCACAACCTGTTTCAGATAGAGACGGTGACCAGCACGCAGGTGAATAGGTGCTACGTGCCGCAGAACCTGGCCGAGGCCCTCGACTTCTGCCAGAGCCTGCCGAGCGGCTCAGACGAGAACAACACCTACCAGCTCCCGGACGGCAGCACCGTGGAGCTGACGCCCGTGCAGCGGCTGGCCCCCGAGATGTTCTTCAGCCCGCAGGTGTTCGATCTGCCGGGGCCCAGCATCTCCCAGGCCCTGGTGGAGTCTGTCAAGACCTGCGAGGCCTCCATGCACCCGCTGCTAGTGTCCCACGTGGTGGCTTGTGGCGGGAACACCCTCTACCCCGGCTTCACCAAGCGCCTGTACAAGGAGCTCACCTCGGATCACTTCTCCAAGGCCATGATATGGGTGGGCTCCAACAGGAGCTTCAGTGTCTGGCTAGGAGCGTCCGTCGTGGCTCATCTTTCTACTTACAAGTCCGAGTGGATGACCAAAGGGGAGTATGACGAGAGTCTCAGGCTGTGACTGGCGGCTCAGTCCGGGACTGCTGCTGTTGGATAGGCGTGGTGGGATTAATTGGAGTGGAATGGGCTGGGTAGGGGTAGGGTGGAGCGGGCAGTTCTGAGGTCGTGTTTTAGATTCTAAGCTTTTATCTTATTTTGAGTGGGATTCAACGCATGGGAGGATAGGCTTTTACCCCTGGAGACCCTAGAAGGGACCGTTTTCCAGGGCAGCCTGTCACTGGGATGGGGTGGCCTCCTGCCATCTCCATCTCTGCTTCGTTGGCTCCTTCTCTGGGTTATCCCATTCTCGGTTGTCTAGATTTGCCTGGGGCAGGAGAGCATGGGACTGTCTACGAGGATGCCCAGTTACTTCTGACTCGGGGCAGGGAGGGAGGGCGTGGGAGAGCTGAAGTTTCTAGTCCTGCATTTCCTTTCCTGCTAGGGAGGTGCTTCTGCAGGCGGGCCTGGCCTGGGATGCCCATCCTACCTCCGGCCAAGGGCTTGTCTTATATGCAAATAAACAACTCGTTTGGAAACCGTGCTGGCTCCTGTGATGGATGTGGGCAGTGGGCAGTCCCTCGGGGTGTTCCAGGATCTGGGAGCGTGAGTCAGGGGCCAGCTGGTTCTGAGTAGTTCTAGGGCCTGCAAACAGCAGTTACCACTGAGCAGAATGGGTAAGGGTCTCCTGCCCTTCCATTGCCCACCCTCTTCACTCATCCCAGATGCCCTAATACTCTGTTAAAAGGGAGTTCTAGGGACTAGCAGTTGGCGTAATGGCTATGTCGCTGGACTCCCATGTAGTTGACCACGGTTCGAGTCCTGGACCCAGTGGCTTAAACCACGTTGGGCGCGTGTGCGTGCATGCCCAAGATCCCGAGAGGAGAATGGAGGAGAAGGGATTGCGGCATGACCATCACCCCTGGGGGGTGATTTCTTGTGATTTCTCTCTTTCCGTCTCTCTGTCTCTCTCTGTCTTTCTGGCGAGTGCACACGCTCTATAACAAAGACCTCTCCAAAAAAAAAATAAATGAATAAAAAAGAAAAGAAAAAGAAAAAAGAGTAAGTTCTTACTAGTTTAGTATGTGTTTAGTAATTACACACCTACTTTGTGTAGGTACTCTGCCAGGCATCGGGGACTTTGAGATGGAAAAGGTTTAGGAGGCTTCTGTTTTCAGGATTACTTTGTTTGTCCCCAGACAGCCCTTGCCCTGGTGGATACTAAGCTGGATTCTGCATGGCTTTTCTGGGTTTGAGTCCCAGACCTAGTGGCTTGAGAAACACACTGAGCATGTGTGCCCAAAACCCTGAAAGGAGGGAGAAATGGAGGAGAAGCAATTGCAGTGTGACTGTGCCCCACAAGGGGTGCTTTCTCAGTTTTTCTCTCTCTCTCTCTCTGTTTTTCTCTGGCAAGTGCACATGCCCTTTGGCAAAATTAAAAAAAAAAAAGATTACAGTCTACTGTGGGGACACAGACAATAGATACGTAAATCTATTTCACTGGTAAACGAATTTGCCAATGTGAGAAGGTCGTGTGATCTGGGGGTGGAGGAATGGCTGCACTGGAGAGGGTGGATGAAGATGGAGACTGTGGGGACCGAAAGTAACCATGTCCTTTCCTGCCATGGTGCACTTGCATGAGGCCTTGCTTTCTGGTCTATGGCAGAAAGTTAGGGCCATGTGACCAAGTTCTGGCCACTTCAGTGAGTGCTCAACCCAGAAGATATCCTTGACCGTTTTGCAGAAGGCAGAATATCCTATGGAGGATTCAGGGCCCTAAGGGGTCAGTGGATGGAAGGAGCCTGCATGAGTGGGTGGAACAGAAATCCCTTCTACCTACCCAACCCCACCACCTGCACTGGACTGGCACATGTTAAACCACTGAGATTCTGGGATGTCTGCTACAGCAGCTGTTTTGTTTACTCTAATATAGAGACTAGAACCGTATTCAGCATTTATTTTTCCTGGCAAGTGACAGGACTGGGGTCGGAGCTCAGTCTGGGCTCTCAATCACTGTGTCATTCAGGTGTTTCTGAGAGGGCCTCTCAGCTCCCCGCTCTTAAGAGCGAAAGTAGGAGGCCAGCAGGTGGTGTGGTGGTTATGGTGCTGGACTCCCCATGATTGTCTGTGGTTTGAACCCTGGACCCAGTGGCTTGAAAATCATACCGAGCATGTGTTTGCGTGTACTCAAAATCCCAAATCCTAGGAGGAGAATGGAGGAGAAAGGATTGTGGTGTGGCCATTCCCCCAGGGGGCGACTTCTCATTTTTCCTTTCACTGTCCCTCCCTGTCTCTCTCTGGTAAGTACACGTGTCCTATGGCAAAAACTTTAAAAATAAAAAAAAAAAAAGAAAGAAAACGTGAGCTAAAATGGAGTAACAAGTACAGTGGGTGGAAGATGGAAGCCCAAGAACCCAGATGTTTCAGGAGCAAGCGGAGGAAGTTGGGAGGCAGAGCCCTCCTTGTCTGCCAACACATAGATCACATTCTCTTGGACACAGCCTCACCCCTACCCTTGAGCTGTCAGCAGTCCCCATGGAGAGGAGGGGGCTGGAATGGTGACTCTAGCGGAACAGCTCAGAAGCAGTATGGCACAGGGCCTAAGGCGTGGGTTCAGACTCGAGGTACCGACTGACCCTGTCATTAGCTGAGCTACCTTGGGCAAATTGTTCAACCTCTCTGAATCTAGCAGGTAGAAAATAGGGAGTAATAGTGTCTCGTAGAGAACTGGGATTGAGGGTGAGCCAAATAAGGGATGAGAACTCACTTGGAAAACTACGAAGTGCTGGGCCAGCAGGTGGCATAGTGGTTAAGGTGCTGGATTCTCACATGGCCAATCACTGTTGGAGTGGGTATGTGTATGTGTGCTCACCAAAGAGAGACAGAGAAAAAAGTGAGAAATCACCCCCCAGGGAGAATGCTCATCCCTAGGGAGGATGGCCGCGCCACAATCCCTTCTCCTCCATTCTCTTTTCAGGATTTTGGGCATGCACACACACACATGCCCAGTATGTATCTAGCAAAATAAAATTAAATAAAAATCTAAAAACAAAAAAGAAAACTATGAAGTACTATTGAAATGTGGCATTTGACAATAGGCTCCTGTTAATCGGAGCATTAACAACAGCAGCCACTGTCACCTTGCCAGGCATCGTAGTGAGTGCTTTACAAATGAAGTCGCGTTTAATCCTCATGTGCACACTGTGACGTCAGTGGTATTTGTCCCTAGGTACAAATAAGAAAACCAAAACTTAGAGATAAGCCCTTGCTGAAGTTTGCACTCAAGGTCAAACTAATCACAAATTGTCAGAGTTGGGAATGGATTCAGCATTCTTAGGAAAGGAGACTGAAAGTGACTGAAACAGAGACTTCTTTGTTTCAAGGAGCAAGTAGGCCATCCAGGCAAACAGTGGCCTACCTGTACCATCAAAGATCTTTCTGTCTTTCTGTTTTTCCACCATAGTCCATAGGCATACTGGGTCATGTCACAAAACAGCTGCAGTGGCTCCAGATGTCACACTCATATTCCTTATAGGTCAAGGAGGAGTAAAGAGAGGGTGCTATCTGACTTTGTCTCTTTCTAGTCGGAAAGTATCGCCCAGCTTGGTTCTCTTATGTGTCATTACTAAGAGATAGCTGAAAGAAAGAAGAGGCACATACGCTTTGTGTGAGCGGATCCAGTGTGTGAGCTGAGGAGGGATTTGAACTTCAGTCTGTTCATAACTAAAGTCTATGTTGTTGTTTATAGAGCTAGTTTGCCTTTCCAACTTCCTGGGTCCTAGTGGTATCTTCAGCCTGAGAGATGCAGACATGGAATTCTTCCAGGCTTGAGGGAAAGCTGCTTCGGGGTAGAAACCCAGGCATTGACGTCCTGAGCAGTAATCCTTGCGCTCCACACTGGCATGTCTGTGTACACCTGAGCCTTAAAAGGCAGAAGGGGGGCACTGAGAAATGAGGACGAGTGAGAAGAGGCCTGGGGAAGAGATGGGCAAGGGGTCTTTTCTTTCCTCATTTAGCTCCGGGCAACTGTCATCAAACCTCTTTTTCTCATTTTATTCCAAGTGTAACATTTAACCTTTCTGCTCAAGCATCAAATCTGGCTGCCTGGTGTATAATTATGAACTTTTCTTCATTTTTTTCTCTCCCGTCCCCCACCCGGAAAGCTTTAAAAACTCCCTCACTGGGTACCATCTCTCTCTTCCAACTCTCCAATTAAATTAAAAATAGCAGCTCCATGGGGCTGTGCAGGGCCATCAACCTAGCACGAACTGCTGGCACGCCAGGCCTGGCGGGGTGGCGCGTGGTGCCCAGAAGACGCCTGCTGGCTCAAGCATGGCCTGGCAGCTGCTCGGAGCTGGGGAGGCTTATCCTCCGCGAGGGGTCTGGGGCTGCCTGCCAGGGGCCGCCAGGTGCAGGGGAGTGGGAAGCAGGGTCTTGGCAGCTGGGCGGGGGCTGGGTGGGGCTGGCAGAGGGGACAAAGGCAAAGGCCCCCAGGAGGGCCATCCCCGGTGGTGAGGGGACATCCTCCAGCTTCTGCTGCCAAGTCTGGGACTTGGCACCCTTACGCCTGGGTTTGGTGGGGCTCGGATGCCCAAGTTCCCTGAGATAACCCTGGCAGAAGCCCGAGGTTCTGGTCAGGCTGCGAGTCAGGTCAACAGTAACTGAGCACCTCCTGGCTCCAGAAGAGTCTTCATTGCCTTTCCACCTCTGGGACCCCTTTCTTTGGGGAGAAGGCAGATGGTGCAGTGGAGGGGTGTGGATTCGAAAGCAGGACTGCTAGACAGGATTAGAATCCCTGTTCTGCTGCCTTCTGGTTCTGCTAACTTCTCTGTGCCTCAGTTTTCCCATCTATAAAACGAGCAAAATAGAAATGCCTGCCTCAGGGTGGTTTTGAGGCTCATCCTACGGTTTTAATGAGATAATGTATATAAAACACTCAGCTTTTGTTTCTGCAGATACCAGGCTCCATTGTCTGAGTCCTCAGGCCCAAACCCGCCTGTCTGTTTACACTGGCGTGCTCACAGGCAGGTAGGTGCGAGTGATACACAACAGATAAAATAGGGTA